GTTTAGTCACTGAGATCTTAGGCACATCTCTTGATGAGCTGATCTCTAATATCAAATGCATGTTTTTATTTTGGGAAAGATGTTGAATTAAACATCAGAGAAGGGGTGGGGTGGGCAGCCACCTGCATTATTTATGGGCATTTGAATTTTGCATCTTTACTCCTTGAATTGATATGGTTTTGTTTTGTTTTGTCTTTTGCTCTTAAATTGGATTCCTAGGAAGATGGAGAATAGCTTTATACACAATCCCCCATGATTGTTTTTATATTAGGGGAAGGGTCACTCATTGTTTCCTCAAAGGAGCTAGGAAGTTCCTTTGGATCTGATGCTTAAAATCCATACTTTGGAATATAATTGAAAATTGCTATGTTTTGCATTTATTCAAATCAGATAAAAATTTTCACTATATTTCCCTGCTTTGAAAAACAGATACAGAATCCCTTGGTCAAAAAAAATCATAGACTGCTATTTTGTAGCAAATAGAAAGAGCTCACAACGCTATTCTATTAGTCTAATCAAAAAACAACATATACAAAGAAATATAAATAAACCTATATTCATACAGCAGAAGTATAAAGTTCTTTGAATATAATTTTCATCTCCTTATTTGGTCTTATTACTGTTCTTAAAGATAGGTTGAAAGAACTGTTTGCTATTCTGTGGGAAAACTATTCAAAAGGCGGGGGACATCAGGTAGGGAATGGTGCCTATGCTTTTACACACACTTTATAGCAGTCAGATTTGCTCAGTTGCTTTTTTGATTGCAAGGAAGCATTCAAAGAAGGGAACATATATTTAACAATGACATCAAAAGTCTACAAAACTTTTTTTAAATGGGGGAAAAAGAGACTATTCAACTTCACAGGCAGAAATTTTCACTTTCCTCTAAGATCTGGCTAAATTTAGATGACTAAAGTGACTTCATGTCCACCTTCTACCAACCTAGCTGAAACTGAAGGATGCAGTTAGGTGGCACCATAGTGCACAGAGTGCCTGGCCTGGAGTCAGGAAGACTCATCTACATGATTTCAAATCTAGTCTCAGACACTAACTGTGTGACCCTAGGCAAGTCACTTAACCCTGCCTCAGTTCCTCATCTGTAAAATGAGCTGGAGAAGAAAATGGCAAACCACTCCAGTGTCTTTGCCAAGGAAACCCCAAATAAGGTTACAGAGTCAGACATGACTGAAAAAAAAAACTGAACAATGAAAAAGGAAATTGATTAAAAACAAATGCAGTGAGGTTGAGAAATTCTGCTTGATTTGCATACCGAAACAGGTGATAATGCAACTAACACTATCCTAACAATTTCCTAAAAGCTCTAGCTTCCAGTCAAAAAGACAGTAATGGTTCAGTTAGTGGAAGGAGCCTGAGGTGTGATGGGGTGGCTGACTCGGATGCCAGGGGAACTTCCAAACTGCTTAGAGGGTTTAGCCCAAGTATTCCCACTTCACATCCTAATGTCTGCCATTTTTTCTTCAAGCACGAAAACCAAAAGAGGACCAACACTTAATCTGAAGATCTGAAAGGAGAGCCATGAAAATGGAGTCAAGCAATGGCCCATAACCACAAACATAGCAGTAGCCCTGGGATCAAAACCTTGAATCACAAGACATAACAAAAACAGTGCTTGAACTTGGAGGCAAGAAGGTCTGGGTTTGAATTCTGCCTAGGACACTTAATTGCTGGGTGACCCTGGGTAAGTCACTTAACCACTCTGAAACTCAGTTTCCTAATATGAAAAATAGGGATAAGAGCAGCACCTACCTTGCTTGGTTGTTGCACATGTCAAATGAGATAATGCCTTTGTAGACCTTAAAGCTTTGTGTAAGAGCTAGTTATTATTGGCAAAAGGAACAGATACACAAAATTCAGACACAGAAAATGACACAGAAACTTGCCACCCTCCAAACAAAACATAAAATATTGAAATAGAAATCTTTTTCTTCTCTCCCAAATGCTCATTGTCTATTATTCATTTTTGCCATTTAAAAAAATGAAACAACTTGGAAAAGAAATCTTTAGCTCTACTAGTCTCTTCTGAAGTATTTCTGGCAATTGTTTCTCTCTCCACCCAGGAACTCCTGTCCTCAGAAAAGAAAGGGACAATGGTGTTCAATTACTGCCCAACTGAATGTTGTCTGTGAGCCCCACCACTTCCCCTCTGGCCCCTTCCATGGGAGCTCAGAGGACACAAGTGGCTTACAGAATTCAAACACATAGAGCTCTCCTTCCAAAGAAATAAACACCATGCTTGAGGAAGACAGAAGCCGCAAATAACCAAACATGTTGGTAATCTGATGTTGTGTAGCTAGATTATAGAAAAACAGTAATTACTGAATTACATTACTCAGTCAGCATGGTAATGAAGTTTTTCGAGAAGATCTGGGTCTTTCAGATGACAAATGTTTTAAATCAATGACAGATTCGGGAACTTTCCGTGCTACTCTCTTAGCTAGGTTGCCTAGCACCAACATTCTTTATGTGAGGGGAAGGGGTGATACCGAAAGGAAATCCAGGCAAAATCAATGCAATCCTTTGCACTGACCGAAGCTGCTACAGAGGAAGCTTTGCTTAGCCTCCAGTGACTTGATTAAAACTTTTAAAGTCTGGCAGGTGGCCATGGCAAGGGAGAGTGGGTCTTTCTGGGGAAAATGTTATCGGTGGGAGAACCAAGTGGTTTGCCTCTGGGGGGCGGGGGCGGGCAGGTCGGGGGTAGATAAATTGGGGGAATCCACAGTGTAGCTGAAGTCATTTCTCATTGACCAACGTCATTAAATAAACACGCAGAAACGTTTATATATTTAGGAATGGCTACTCTACAAAAGTACCTTTGTTTTAAGATATGGATTTGAAGGCACTTTGCTCTTAGAAACTTGGAAGAGGACAAAGGTCATTTCCTGGCTTTATTTAGTACCCTTACGCCTGAGATCCCCCTCCCCATGCTAATTAGGAAAAAAAAAAAGTTGGAGGGGGCTGTTTGCAAACAATACGACAGGCTGGAAAGCAGATCAAACCACAAATTCAGTAGTGGATGTTTTGAAGATTGACTAACACAAGGGTAAGAGTGCACACACACACACACACACACACACACACACACACACTCTTGCACATACGCACACCACGCATGGACCACACTAAACTGTGCTTTGGGAGATACGGATCAAAGAAAAAGGCAGCTTAGGCATTGAAAAGAGCAATCCACAGGCTCCTCAAAAATTTGCCTTTTATGGAATTGGTTCAACAGAGCCAGGCAGTCAGGGCACGATTAGAGGCCCTGCTACAGAGTGGCATCGGCTGTCCCTTTTTTCAATGCCTACTAGATGGGTGATTCAGTGTGTCAGGCATTCGAGGCTCCATACTCTCAAAGAGGCACGCATGCAGAGGAACGAGGAGGCATCAGGTGTGTTTTACGCATGTATGAGGCATTCTCAGTGGAGGTGGGTCATGCTAGAAGATGTACACAGGAAGATTATTTGACTTTAATTCATGCCACTTGAGATAATGTGATAAAACATTTGACATGAGAGATAAGTTCCATTTTCATCTGGGAGGTCACCAGTGAGAGAGCGAAAGAAAGGGAGAGAGAGAGAGAGAGAGAGAGAGAGAGAGAGAGAGAGAGAGAGAGAATGACAACTATAAAGAGTATTCTTAAATAAAAGTAATGCAGAAGAGTGGGATATCATGTACAAAAAGAAAATGATTGGGGTGGGGGAAAGAAAGGGCTTTTGAACACATTATGGAAGCGAATGAGCTGGAAAACAGAGCATCAAAAGTCGGAAGCATCGAAATTGGAAAGCTGTGCCAGGCAATGAGATCACCAAGATGAAACAACAAGGAATAAAAAAAAAAAAAATCCAATGTAAACTGCTGTACACAATTAAAGAAATCATATAGAAACAAGAATCCCAAAGTAGACCAAAACACTAACACTGCCTTGGCACTCGAGACATAAAACCTTAAAGGGAGAAGCCGACTCTTCACAAATTTACGAGGACAAGAAGTGCACCACACGACGGTAGCAAACACAGAGACGGAGAAACTGGTTCCCATGCACTCAGGCCAGGTCTACACTGGCAAATGACGTGGGACCCAGAAACCATTCTTGGGATCATTCCGACATTTCTCCACTCCCCACCACTGAGGCCTAAAATAGTCAGCAAGGGCCAAAGTAGGGTATGGGACTAGTTATCTACTTTGGCAGTGCAGAAGTGGCGACTGTCAAAAAAAAAGAAAGGGGGAGGGGCTGAAAAACGATTAAAAAGACACCCAAGTCAGAGTTCTCTAAAAGTTTTTTTTTTTTTTTAAATCCAGGGTCTTCCAGTCATGTGCAGCTGCTCCTTTTTTTTTTTTTTTTTTTTTTTTTTTTTTTTAAAGATGTTAATTTTTACAGGTTTTCAGGGAGATTGCATAGCCACGGTGTGGTCTGTTCAGAAGCCCATCGGCTGAGGATTTTTTCTTCCTTTTTTTTTAAACCCCCCAGAAACTTAGTCATTCTCGAAGAGATAACAACACAGCACCTACAGCTCATCTGCATGTCACAGCTGTCAGGCAGCGAGAGACAAGCAGCAGGGCAGCAGAGAGGTGTGTAGGCAGTGAACGCCACCCGGACTGGAAGACGGCTCCCTAAAAAATGGGACTGGATTGCACTGATGAGAACAATGACCAAGAGAGATCTCCGCCCATTCTGAGAAAGCTTCCTCAGAAGCTCAGTGCGGGAATGTGTCTGCTTAATAAAAAGACACTGCTACCCTACGGATCACACAGATAAAGACCAGGACATAGTAAGTAAGACCAGAGGAGAGAGGTTCAGAACAGAGAGACAACAGAGACGAGAGCCTGAGTCAGAGGAAAGGGAAAGATCCGGTTGGATTGAATAACCAATTGGGTTGGTTTTTTTTTTTTCTCAAAATGTGACTTATCCTCCTGTCTCTTATTTTGTCACATTTTGGATAGTCTCCTCTTTGGCCTGCAAGGAGGAGAAGGCATTTACTTACATCAAATAACCTTTCTATATACATCTCCTCATTGACCTTATCACGGAGGACATCCTGAGAGTGGCGGACAAATGTCACGTAGGCATCGGCAACGTCCATCCCAGGCTTCTGCAAAGAAACACCAAAATGTGAAAATGGCATTGTCTTCATTACCTGCACACTCTTTCATTCTTCCCTCCCCTTCTGGGGAACACTTGCTGTTGACTTTTCCAGGATCCTTCCCTGGCCGCATTCTGCTGTCGGTTGTTCGAGGCTGTTTCCCACAGTACCATTCGTGGGACATATTGGGTCAGCAGGACAGGGACTGTGGGATTTCAGATCTGGAATGAGCCCTGCTCAATCCTTCCCTGACCAAGAATCCCCTTCATAACATACCTGACAGGTGGTCTGCCAGTTTTGACTGGAAGACCTTCCTTGACAGGAAATCCAGTGTCTCCCAAGACAGCCTGTTTTACTCTGGCACAGCTCAGGTTCTTAGGAAGCTTTTCCTGACATCAAGCCTAAATTGGACTCTTTGCAACTTATATCTGGCTACTTTTAGTTCTGCCCTTTGGGTCCAAGCAGAGCAAATCTAATTTACCCTTTTCCACAGGATAGCGCTTCAAATGTTTAGCATTACAGTTTTAGAGCCAGAAGGAACCTCAGATCTAGCTCAATTATCTAATTTCAACGAGGAGGAAACTGAAACCCAGAAAAGTTGAGTGGCAAAGCTAAGATTTGAACCCAGGTCTTCTGACCCCAATTCCCACACACATTCTACTACACCAATGAAGGCTAAAATATTCTCTTGCTTCAGGCTTCTCTTCTTCAAATAAAACTGGGGCTAAGCAGTGAGTTGGGCAGCTAAGCAGGGGCTGGAGTCAGGAAGACCTGAGTTCAAATCGGACTTCACTTATTAGCTGGGTGACCCTGGGGAAGTCACTTAACCCTCTTTGCCTCAGTTTCCTCATCTATAAAATGAGCTGGAAGAGGAAATGGTAAACCACTCCAGTATCTTTGCCAAGAAAAACCTCAAATGGGGTTACAAAGAGTCGAACATGACTAAAGAACCAAATCAGTAGATTAGAATGGCAGAGTCTCAGAGAAGTTCTCATCGGCCCTCCCCCCCCCCTTTTTTTCCTACTTCTATCTTTAGCAAAATCACTTATAGAAACATTTTCACTTGCTGCCCCTGAGCAGTAGTCAGGCTAAGTTTGGGACTGTAGGTCCAATTAGAGGAATTTCAAAGTCCACTGATGTTTCAGGGTCCTATAATGTGTGTGTAAAATACAGATTTCAACCTTTACGAAAACAACAGCATGGTGAAAGGTATAGAGGGGTTGGCCTTGAAATTGGAAAGACTGAGATTCAATTCCTTCCTCTGAGACATAGGACTTGTATCCATGGACAAATCATTTAACTTCTCAGTGGCTCAGCAGCACTCTAAGACTGTAAATTGCAGATAAAATGCCAGCTTGTGCTGGTCAAGGGAATTTCTCATCGGGTGCTCCCAACACTGATAAAATCACAGGTCTAGTCAAAATAAGAACAATGTTCTTTGTCAATAAAATGCAAGTTTTCATTTATCCAATTTGCTTACATTTCCCTCTTGATCAGCTTGCCCAGATCAAGTATCTCTGCCTCCCAAACCATTCTTATGGTTTAATAATAATAATAACAATAACAATAATAATACCCTTTATCATCAACATGCCTTTTACATAAATTATATTTTGCAGAAAGGTAGGAGGAGGGGGAGGGAGCAATTGGACAACAATTTCTTGTAAAGGGGGGACAGCCCCGGTCCAAACCTGCAGACCACCCTGTTTGAGACGCTGCAGTCCAAGTTAGCTCCAAAGAAACCCATTAAAATACTGTAATGTGGGTCATTGAGAGAGTCACCGCCAAACCTCCTGAAGTTTCCACAGCGGCAGATATGTACGTTTGCTAATGACTAATAAGATTAGTTTTCATTACTGTGATTTACCTTAGATCACAAAGTATCATTTCCCTACCAGACGTGACTGTCAGCCACTGCAAATTGAAGTTAGTTAACACTTCTGTGTAATTTCCAGGGTGAAAATGAGGAAGGTTTGGAAACAGTAGGACTGTATTTTTTTCCCTGATACAAAGCAAACAATTATCAGGCAAGGGGCCAATGCTAGGCCCCTGGGTTGCCAGTAACATTTCTTAACACCTGCTGAAACAATGACAAGGTATTAATTTGAAAAACAATGAGGACAAACCAATGGGGCTGTAGTCGAGTGTTACACTTTCAACAATTTTCTGCAGACAGGAATGTGCCACATTTGTGATGGTCCTATAATTGTTGGAGTTTTATGTTACCAAACAATAGCATTTCTGGAAGGAGATGTAAATGATAGCTGTCAGGTCTTCTCGCTGCTGAAGCCTGATTAGCCAATGCCATTTTCAGTAGGAGGTGGGGGCTCACATCACTTGAGAAGAGACGGGATTTGAGGTTCAGATTCCAAGTCTGACATTTACTAGCTGGGTGACCATCCTCTCCCTGAGCCTCAATTTCCCCACCATCTCTAAAGGGGAGGTGGGATAATAAGTGTCATTGTGGGAACAGTATTCTGTAAACCTTTCCATGCTCTATAAATGGGAGCTGTTACCTTTATGGAACTTCGTAAATACTTAATGCCTTCTTACTATGGGTGTTCATTCCTTGGTAGTGCTTCTGCTGAAAGGCAGCATGGCACAGTGCATAGACCCTGGGAGTCAGGAATACCTGAGTTTCCTTCCTACGTTGAAAACTTACAAATTGTGTGACGCTGGACAAATCATTTCACCTGTTTAAGCCTCAGTTTCTTCATCTGTAAAATGAGAGGGGTAGACTTTGTGACCTCCAAAGTCTCTTTCAGCTTTAAATCTGTGACCTTACAAATCTGGGTTTAATTCCTACCTTTGACACGTACCAGTTGTGTGACCCTGGGCAAGTCCTCTTAACCTTTGGTGCCCTGTGGCAATTCTTGAAGTGTTCAATTCGCCCAGGAGTTGCTGATCTGCATTGTGGAGGGAGTTTTCACATCCTTTCAGTTCCTCATAATGACTCCATGGATCTAGACCCAAACAAGTGCTCATGGCTTCTCTGGTCCTTTTCAAAGTAAGGTCATTGCAAGGACTGAGGCTTAGGAATGAAATTCTGCCAGGAGTACCAGATTCACCTACTTTATAAGCTGTCAGCCACACTGTCCTTTGCATGTTTTGGTTTAGAGAGCTTTTCGAAAAACACCTTTCATCTTGTTGCAAATTTCAGAAACTTGAACCCATCTAGAGCAACTGGCTCCATTAACTTTGCTGATATTTTTCTGTTTCCTACCACAGCAGCATCTCAGCTATCTGGAGGCCACTTATCTGTCAACTTCAACTATCCAAATAAGCAGAGTAATAAAGGGGCAGGGACACTTAGTGTCTGCTAGGGAGAGGTGCTGGATCTGTGACTTCACTGTTACAGTCAAAGCCCATGGAACGAAACTCTTCCTGCCAATGCAGATCTACAATGTCTCACCTACGCTGCCCAGAGCACTGAGAGGTTAAATGATTTGCCTAGGGTCACACAGCCAAAGTGTGTCAGACTTGAACCTGGGTTTCTTGGCTGCAAGACAGGCTCTATATTCAATACACCCTGCTGCTGCTCATGAATTTTGTAAATAAAACTATTTTCTGGACAGTCCTCAGGATGTCATTTAGAGCCCATTGACTCTTATTTTGGAAACAATTCTAATAATTTTGGTCATCAGCTCTTTTAGACACATTAGATTAGAAGCATTTATAAAAATAAGCTTTGGGCTGTTAAAGGCAGACAGCCTGATAGCAGTGAGAAGTAACGGTGGAAGAAAGGAGAAAAAAGAAAATCCATGAAAAAGACAAAGGCATATGCATAAACCAAGAATACAAGAAGCACAGAAATCTGGGGACTTTCATTGTAGGGACAAAGATCACACCTTAGTAGCCCTGTAGACATGGGGTTCCCAGTATAATCCAATGGTCTGATGTGACTGTATTCAGAATGATGGTACTAAGTTATCCAGAAGAGGATACATTGTGGTTAGCATACTTTTTATGATGGCAGAAAGTGTGATGAATTTTAGAGAGGTTCATCTTCTTTCACAACATGACTAATGTGGAAATATGTTTAATATGATCACACATGTATAGCCCATATCAGATTGCATGCCATCTTGGGGAGGGGAGAAGGGAGGAAGGGAGGAAAATTCAGAACTCAAAAACTTATAAAAGCAAGTGTTGAAAACTAAAAATAATTAAAAAGAAAAAAGAGAGAAAACATTATTTTTTCACTTAAAGGGATAGCCATTTAAGAAAGCCACATAATGTAGAACAGCTCATTCCTGAATAATAATATATACCTTGCTGCTGCTTCTGCTATTACTACTACCCACTATTACAACCACCACTACTATTTCTATTGATCTCTTTAATCTCTCTCTCTCTCCCTCCTTCTCTCTCTCCCTCCTTCTCTCTCTCTCTCTGTCCCTGTCTCCCCTCTTCCTTTCTCTGTCTCTCTCCCCCCTCCACCTTTCATCCAACTCCACCCCTTCCAAGTTCAGGAAATTGAAGGCCATAGAAGTAATACCCATAGAAATTTGTAGACCATCAGAGCTGGAAAACACAAGGATCACCTAGTTTTACCCTCTCATTTTACAGTTAAAGGTCATGGAGATAATCCATATGTGAGTTGGACTTTGACCCCAGGTCTTCCTGACTCTAGTCCAGGGCTCTATCCATATGCTCAGGCTAGAAATTGCAGACCAGTGCTCCTTTTTTTTTTTTTTAAACACTAATACCACTTTTTGTGTGAGGAACATCATCATTAGCCCCTTCTTGAAATCTGGGCCCATTTTGCTACCAATAGGAACCAAAACCTTAACTTCCACAAAAACTCAAATGTCTTTTAAGATCAATCATAAGGATGATAAGTTCTTTGTATTAGCATAGGAATCCAGTCCATCTTTATAATTTAAGACAGACTTGACCATGGATGATTTGGAAGCTGGTGCTAAAGGTGAATGAAAGCAAATTGATGATCTTTAACTTATTAATCATGGCTTCAGATGTAGCCAGCTCAGCAGTGGCCAGCACCACAGGAGCAGAGGCGGGCTCATGGCTGCTACAACCAAGTGTTCAGAGGCCTCTCTTCATTGAATTTTTGGTTTGGGAGCCTAACCATCTAATATATACAGTGGCACATACTAAAGACCAGAAGATGATTGGCAAAGGTGAGTCATCTCAACTATGGGATAAGTGTACTTATGGGGCTCCTTGCCTTCTTTCACATTTATAACCTGAGATACAATAGCTTTAGTAAAGGGCTGGCAAGAGATTTCTCTGGGCTTTCTCTCCAAGACAGGTTTCCAGACCAGGCTTAAACCTTTAAATTTCTGAGGACAAAGAGAGAACTTTAGCAACTTGATCTACATCGTCATCTTCAGAGGCTCAGGAAGGGGATCCTGTTCTTGGCTGTCTCTGATTTGAACTGAGGAAAGTACTGGGTGTGGGCTTTCAGCAGTCTGGCTTATGTTAGAATGGCCCATTTAGATCGCTGGGATTGGATGAGGATGTTCAACTTGGCACTAGGGTTATACTGTGCCAGGCGGCCAGGTGGAACCATGTAGGCAGCCTGGCATCCAAGTTTGGCTCAGCCTATGTCTTGGCAAGTCAACCCACTTCTCTGAAGTTATCATACCTTTCTCCACTCTCAATTACAGAGATGTTACAAGGCTGATCAAGGTGAAGGAGTTTGAGCTCCCTAGGTGAAAAGCATTATATAAATTCAAGGTATAATTATAGACTCCACATTCTTTCATTAAACAAACAAAATGTATGCTAATGCTAATTTCAGTCCAATTTCTGGTAATTTATTGTCCTTTTAGAAGTAAGCCAATAAAGTGTAACACGCTTCCAGGGGAAATGAATTTAAATGTTAATATAAATCCCCTTGGAAACTGACATATCTTAACTAATAAGTATTTGAACAATGAAGACACTTAACCACGTTCAGGGCCAGAAACATTCAGTACAAGACCCTTGGTAGCTGTTGAGATAAGCTCTCCAAATTTAATATTTTGCAACAGACCTACATCTCTTTTATTCTAAATGGAAGCACAATCATTTTCTTATCTCCTCTCATACAATATATTTAAATCACTTCACTTTTAGTTTGCTAATCTGCAGGCAAGGTTTATCAGTGAATGTATCCTGGTTTATCACAGGTAATCCCACACTTCAGCATTCATATGTTGTACTTAACCTCAATTTAAATGGAAATTTTGGGCAACTTTAAGTGCCTTATCTAGGAGCTTTAAGGGCTCTCTTCATTAACGAGGCCTCCTCTAATTATAAGGGGTTTTGCAAGATTGTCTTAAAACAATTGCAGAACACACCAAAAAATGAACAAATTCAGACTCTATTTGTTTTCATCAAAATATATTGTCTCCCTTATACAAATTTCTAGCTCACAGTAGAATCCCCAAGGGACATAAGCAAGAGGTGCTGAGTAAGATGATATTAGAATGAAATTTACTAGAAAAACCAAATATAAATGAAATGAAAGTAAATTGTTCTTTAGCCTTGTACTGTGAAGCTGTTTTTGTTTCTGCCTCAAGCTCTTCTAGCTGAAAGAAATTATCATCATCGATTTCCCATGTGGGGAAAAAATTACTCAGAAATATTCTGGTCTTCCCAATTTCTAATGACTAAAAATTCAGTACCAAATCATTAAAAACAGTACCATCCCGATTGTGAAGAAAGCAACAAACATTTTGAGTGATACTCACAGGGACGTCCACATACTTGGAAGCTGCCTTCACCTTAAGGAAAGAAGAGATGGGGCGTGAGACATGTTTTTATATTGAACCATTCACAGCTCAGTGCAGTAACACAATGAGAGTTAAAACAATATGCTGTACCACAATGCTGACCAGGAAAACAAGCAACAAAAAAAAGGCACTAAAAATAATCTGTTTGCTATTTGGAGCCAGAGCTTTTAACTCTGTTGATATGGGGAGAAGGAGAAGGAGGGAGGGAGAAGGAGGGAGGGAGGGAGGGAGAGAGAGAGAGAGAGAGAGAGAGAGAGAGAGAGAGAGAGAGAGAGAGAAGAAAGAGAGAGAGAAGGGAGAGAGAGAGAGACGGAGAGAGACAAGGTAGAGAGAGAGACAGAGAGAGACAAGGTAGAGAGAGAGAGACAGAGACACACAGAGAGACACAGAGATAGAGACAGAGAAAGACACAGAGACAGAGAGAGACAGATAGAGAAGGAGAGAGATAGAGAGAAACAGACAGACAGAGAGAGACAGAGGGATAGACAGAGGGACAGAAAAATAGAAACAGAGACAGAAAAAAGGGAGAGAAAGAGAGAGAAGATAAGTGAGAACAAAATCAGTTCTATTGACTCCCAGCCTTTAATAACAGCAGATGCTACTGTAGGAGTCCTGAATTTTTTCCTCCTTGTGAAAGCAGGAGAAGGAATTGTGGCGAAGCAGAAATGGATTTTTCAGAGGGCACAGGGATACATATGACTGAGGCCATTTGCTCATTTGCTTCTGTCGGTCTTTCCCTCTCTCCCTCTCTAGAGAGATCCCACCTGACAAAGACATTCCAGTCTGACCAAGGCTGTCCTTGACTCTTACATGGATTATGTTTTCAGATGTGTAAATGTTCAGTGAAATTACACTGAAGAGGAGATGGAGGTGGTGTGGACCAGAAAGTGGTCATTTGTTTCATTTAAAAATAAAACAAAAACACTAGGAGGCAAATCCTAGGTCTAAGCAGTCAATCAGCCGCCAAGCATTTACAACAAGTGTCTGCTAATAAGTTCTGAATTGGTCAGTTTCATGTGCAATCATCTTTTTTTTATTATACTCTGTTTTGGAGATGCTTATTTTATTCCATAAATTAAAAATAAAACAAAAAAAGGATCTAGGGTGAATTAAAAAAACCTGATAACGCATAGAGCAGTTCACTTCTAAAATGAGGGTCAAATAGGAATGAGCAGTCTAACCTTTGAATGGCATGTACAGTTAGATGGCACATGGATATGGGAATGAGAAGCATCAACAGTAACAATAGCTACCATTTGATATAGCACCCTAAGATTTGCAAAGCGTCTTACCAATATTATCTCATTTCATCCTCACAACAACTCTGGGAGGGTGATGCTATTATCCCCATTTTACAGATGAGGAAATGGAGGTAGACAGAAGTTAAGTGACTTGTCTAGGGTCACACATTTGACTCCAAGTTCAGCACTCCATTGACTGCACCACCTAACCAAACCCCTTTAGGATCTGGTACATCCGACATATATTATCTGTATGAGCAGGTCAGGTTGTCTTATCTCTCAGTGCCCGTAGCAATTTCTATGACTGCATATTGCTGCTATATTGCCAGAACTGAATTGCTGAAAGAAATTTCCATAACATTTTTTCTCTCTCTTTCTCTCTAATTTTATATACGTGTGTGCATGCACATATATACATATATAACATATGTATATGTGTGTGTACATATATTTGCATATCTATGTATATGTTCCCTATATTGATGGAATCACAGGTCCATTCCCACCCTCCTTTCTATTATACAAAAAAAGGTCAGCACACTGTGTTAGCTTCTCCAGTAGACACAAATAATATGTAAATCAGTCAATAAGCATCTATTAAGCACCTACTATGTGCCAGGCATTGGTGATTCAAAGACAAAAGTGAAATTAGTCTTTGCCTTTGGGGAATTTATTATCTAGTCAGATGTGATAGCATGTAAATATATGGGCATATAAAAAGTTATGTAATAAGGAGGGGGAAGTCAGTAGCAACTGGGGGAGGGGGGCAGCAGGGAATCAGGAAAGGCTTCATGCCGCCTCTGATGCTTGAGTTGAGTCTGGAAGGAAACTAGGGATTCTGAGAGCCACATAAAACACAATCTCTTCCCTAATGACATTCACAGTGTCACGGGGTACTGATAATGACATGAAATAAATAAACTATTCCTGCATGCAGATGACAAAATAAGACAAGATTGGAGCACAAGAGAGTGCACACCAAGTGTTACATGAAGTCTGAATGGAGAAGGATTGTTCCTGATTAGGGGCATCAGGGAAGGCTCCCTGAAAAAAAGACTGGACTTGAATTGAGTATTAGAGACTGGAATAGGATTTCAGCAGGTTGGGATATTGGTGGCACTGGGGTGGGATGGAGGGTGGGTTGGGGAAGATCAGAGAGGGGAGGAGATTCCAGCTACAGGAAACAACATGCATAAAAGTGAAGGGGTAGGTTACAAAGGTGCTCCTTTAAGGGACAGAAAGTGGTTCAGTTTGGGAGGAACACAGGTGGAAAGAAGTAGCGAGATTAGACTAGAAAGGGTCTGGATTATGGAGGGCCTCAAATGCCAAGTTGAAGGAAAGAAGCACCAGTGACTAGGGAAGAGATATTGGCAGTCTTTTTTCTTCCGTAGCTAGATGTCTCCTTTGCTCTGGAGATGCTGATTTATAGCAGTTGGTAGTTTTACGGCTATTGAAATGATCAACCTTTAAACACGCCTACCCTTCCTTCCCAGCTCACATTTCGTTCCACTCAAGAGAGGAGCCAAATTCTTAACCCTCTCTTGGCAGCTGGGACAGCCTGATGGACCTCATGGCTAAGGTCCAGCCCCTACTATTATCTACCAACAATCACATTCATGTTTCGATTCCCAACCTAATGGTGTGATTACTCATCTTCTTTACATCAAGAAGATAAATGGATTTCTATTTTTCAGTCCTTCTTCAATAGGATCATACTTTTAGTGGTGAAAGCTATCTTGGAAGATACCAGTACAACCTCCACATCACTGGATCAAGGATTTAGTTCTAGAAGAAACTTTAGAGGTTTTCTATTCCAACTTCCTCATTTTATGGATGGGGAAACTGACTAAGGTCACACAGATAGTAAGAGGTCGGGTTGGAATTCAGATCCAGGCTTGGTTCATTCTTCCTGCATCAGTCAGAACTCCAGAGGCAAGAAGGAGGGAAAGGATAGTTCCATAGCTCTCTGCTCAGGTTAGACCACACCTAGAGTACTGGGTCCTGTACAAAGACCACCTTTTAAGAGCAACAGTGAAAAACTAGAGAGAGTCCAGGAAGCAGGACCAGGATGCTAAGGAGTCTAGAGAATATGTCACCTGGGGAACTGTTAAAGGAACTGGGATGATTACCTTGAAGAGGAGAAGACTAACTGTGTGACCCTGGGCAAGTCACTTAACCCCATGGCCTCACCAAAATAAAGAAAAAGAGAGAAGGCTAAAGGGGGAGGAGCTACAGAGTAAAGGAAAGAAAGGAACATGATGTTCTATTCAAGTGACCGAGAGGTGGTCAGTCATAGAGCAGAAAGATTTGATTTATTCTGTGGTGCACTAGAGGGCAGGATTATGACCAACCGGAGGAGGTCACAATGGGACAGATTTCAGCCTAGGATAAGGAAAAATCTTGTACTGGACCTGTGTGACATGGGAACGGGCTGCCCCACAAAGTAACATGTTCCCTGACCCTGGGAATGCTCATCCAGAGCCTGGATGTCCATCTGTCGAGGAAATTGTTGCCAAGATCCATGTACTGTGTAGGAATTTCACTTAGATGACCTCGAAGGTCTCATCCAACTCTAAGACTTTTTGACATTCTCTCAGGAAGCTGTAAACTCTTTGAGGGTAAGGCCTGTTTCATTTTTGTCTCTCAGTAAATATATCAATTGGCTTTCCCTCCCAGGGATCATGGCATTTACATAGTATTTAATTCAGTGCAATTCAATTCAATTTAGCAAGGTTTTACTAAGTGCCAACTAGGTACTGGGCACTGTGTGAGGCAATAAGGATACAAAGATAAAAGTGAAAATAGTACCTACCCTCAAGGAACTTATAGTCTAGCTAGAGAAGACTCTCTCTCAACATATTATATGTAGGTATAATTATATGTGTAAATTACATAAAAATATGTATGTTGTCCCCTCTAGCTAGCCTGTATATATATATTATATATAACACATGTTATATATAATCCACACTATATATATTATCAGATATCCATGTCCTTATTTTATACATACACACACATATATGTATACAATGTATATATCTATACACACAAGTATGTGTTTATGTATATGTACATATGCATACATACATATTTATATAAAATGTATACAAGATAGAAATCAGTTTAATCAGTAAGACAGTAGACTCATATGTGACTACCAATAGAATGAGGAGAAGGATGATTTCATTCCTGTCTTTGTATCCCTAGTAAACGATGAGTGAATGAACTAAAAAGCATTTATTAAATACCTATGTTGTGCCAAAGAACGTGCTTTGCGCTGAGGATACAAACAGCCCTAGCTTTCAAGGACTTCACACTCTGAGGGAGACAATTCAGGAAAGAAGGTTCAACTGCAGGGCTGGTAGAAAGGCCCAAGAGTCCCAGGTATGCAGTAATCTGGCAGATGGCGAGACCCAGAGACTGTTGGGTTACTTACTTAGGGATTTAAGATGATAGTGCTGAGGTGGTGCAGGGCAAAGGGACAGGACAGGAGGTAAAGCCCAGAGGATCTGAGGTGGCCAGATGGAAAGGCCAGGTGGGTCTCTTTCTCATTGGAAGCAATGGAATTGCTTCTATACCATACCACCCAAGCCCCATAGCTAATGAAGTAGCTAGGGTGAAGGAGGAAGGCCAGAGGGGAGGATGGCTTCCAATGGTAGCAGTTCTTTCTATCATCTGTCTGTCCTCAATGGATCCTGGGACAGCCTAAGACTGGAGAAGGGATGAGGGTGGAAATAAGGGGGTAGG